TGTTCAAAAGATGAACTAAGAGAGGAAATGACAATTTCATGTTAACCACTTCAGCCTGTTTCCAAAAGAAATGATCTTGAGATAAATCCTATGGTGAAATTGTGCACTTTCATTTTGTAATAACCTGCTCATTTGACAAGGATTCATTCCTACATGCCAGTCCTCTGATGTGTCACACTGGTCTGAAGACGTTGGCACTGCTGACACACAGGAACTTCATGGAGGCCTATCTTATGTGGAAGATGGTATGTCCACTCAAGCTCCAATTAAATCTCTTCTCTTGGGAAAAACAGTTGCATTTTAAAGGATAATTCAGAAAGGAGTAATCTTCACTGAGAAAACTCAAGCTTTCTAAATAAAGAACAGCCCCTGCCTAACACCTCTGTATTTGTAAATCTCCTTGCCTTTATTTCAGCACTAATTAGAAGACAAAATATGGCACAAAATCTATCTCTAATAGGATTCCTGATTCTTCACCTCTGCTTATGTCTGATCCAAAAGTTATGATAAGCTGTCTTGAGATCACTGGGCTTTTAGTTAATCTTTTGACTTGTACTCTGTCTTAGTCACACAAACAATACTAGGTTTGTGCATAAGCTTGATACCAAATGTAATTTTCTTCTCTGTTTTCCGGATGTTTAACATTTTAGGGATGAGAAGGAGCAGAAGCACGTAGGTAAGGGACACTCCACAAGTTATAAACCAAGCGCGCTCTGCAGACTACATTTCAGCTCCCAAAAGGCAAATCTATCTAAAAGTTGTTGGTGGGATGCTTCGGAGCTGAGCAAAGCCCTCACAAGACTGGAGGGCTGGGCACAGCTGTTCTTCTGTGCTGTGGTACAGGGCTCATACTCCAGGACAAGCAATGCTGGTAAGAGCCCAGACCCCCCTTAGCAGCCCTCCCAGTAACTCTGTGCCTGGTATTTATCCTGATTATGTCAGGAAAAGAGTGAAAACACAATCACCTCTAATCCCAAAGCCCCTCTTGCTATAGCATGGCTTCTGTGCAATTGTTCTCAGCTTGAATACCACTTCCGCACATTTTCACAGGCTGCAAAGCCCCCCTATGTATCCCCCCTAGAATAATTTAATAAATACATAGCTGGAGCAGTAATAGATGTAATGACATTAACGGTCATTTGTTAATGAGTTACTTTGCTGGAAGAACATCATGCCTTTGAATTGAAAGGAATCCAGACTTTACCAGCGAGGATTTAATTTATTAAGTAGTGATTTCTTTACTTAACATCCCAAGAAAAACATCATGCTGATTTGTGTTTCCTTTTAAGAAATTAGAACCTTTTCATTTCTGGGAGTTTAAATTAATTCCCAGTGTTGTGACATTAACACCATCAGAAGCCACAATGTGCTGAAGCTGACAGGGTCCTCAGGCCCCCAGCAGCTGTGTCAGTTAAGTTACCCGTAAGTCAAGTAAGCAGACCAGTGAGCACCTTGCACTGATGGGCTCATTAAGGGTAGTCTGTGCAACAAGTGCTCACTTTCAGGATCTGGGAATAAAGTAATTAAAAATGGAGGTTGTTGCCAGTAGCCAGGATAAAAGCTAGTATCTGGGGTAAGGAAAAGAAACAGACAAAGGTGAAATACCAGGAATGGAAATGCCTCTATGCAGAAAGCTTGGTTTACCCTGTGATTATCAAGCGTGTATTTCCCCAGAGAAATAATTGTCTTGGATTAAGTGATTTGTAGGAATCAGTTGCTCGGTAACAGGTAGCAAGGGAAGGTGGGGTGAGGGCTGCAGAGGTAACACAAGCCATGTGCTGGTTTCCCTTCTCTGCCTGAAGCCCCGGGCAGCTGCGCAGGCCCCATGAGTGCTTCCCAGCTGGCACAGGAGCACACACAGGCCATTTATCGGAGGAAATTCAGAGTTCCGTGCTCCCGGGCAAGTGGCAAGGGTGGGGCTTTCCTGTGCTTACGGGCTAAGATAACTGGCATTTCTCCCCCCTTTTTTAATTGTTCTTCTGTGCTGTTTTCTATATAATCATTATTATCATCATAAATACAGATGTTATTCAGTTTCAGTCTGTGTTCTGGGTTTCTTCCTGTTCACCTCTGAGATATCTCTGTCTCTGTGGCTGGTGCTTTTGCACATTCTCCTCTCCCTGACACCAGAGACTTTTCTGAGTGATTGTAAGCAGCCTCAGTTTGACAGACTGCACAGCCCCAGCCACACATTCCTCCTGGACTCGCACACTGGAATTTACAGTTTTAAATAATTGAGGTAAATTGTATGTATTTCATACACAACTGGAAGAGAAGATAACTCCTCTTCTTGCACACTGGAATTTACAGTTTTAAATAATTGAGGTAAATTGTATGTATTTCATACACAACTGGAAGAGAAGATAACTCCTCTTCTTGCACACTGGAATTTACAGTTTTAAATAATTGAGGTAAATTGTATGTATTTCATACACAACTGGAAGAGAAGATAACTCCTCTTCTTGCACACTGGAATTTACAGTTTTAAATAATTGAGGTAAATTGTATGTATTTCATACACAACTGGAAGAGAAGATAACTCCTCTTCTTGCACACTGGAATTTACAGTTTTAAATAATTGAGGTAAATTGTATGTATTTCATACACAACTGGAAGAGAAGATAACTCCTCTTCTTGCACACTGGAATTTACAGTTTTAAATAATTGAGGTAAATTGTATGTATTTCATACACAACTGGAAGAGAAGATAACTCCTCTTCTTGCACACTGGAATTTACAGTTTTAAATAATTGAGGTAAATTGTATGTATTTCATACACAACTGGAAGAGAAGATAACTCCTCTTCTTGCACACTGGAATTTACAGTTTTAAATAATTGAGGTAAATTGTATGTATTTCATACACAACTGGAAGAGAAGATAACTCCTCTTCTTGCACACTGGAATTTACAGTTTTAAATAATTGAGGTAAATTGTATGTATTTCATACACAACTGGAAGAGAAGATAACTCCTCTTCTTGCACACTGGAATTTACAGTTTTAAATAATTGAGGTAAATTGTATGTATTTCATACACAACTGGAAGAGAAGATAACTCCTCTTCTTGCACACTGGAATTTACAGTTTTAAATAATTGAGGTAAACTGTATGTATTTCATACACAGCTGGAAGAGAAGATAACTCCTCTTAACTCCGTTTACCAGGCAGCCTCTGTTAGGAAGATATTTTCCATGCTAGAAATGTTTACAGCTCCTCAGGCAGAGATAATCAATGGGAGGCTGCAGTCATCATGTGTCAGCATGTCCACACCATGACGGTCCACAAGCTGCTGATGTTCTTCTGTTTCTTTTTTTGGGTGTCTTGTGGCTAAAGTTTGTCTTCTGGTTGGAAAAACAAAAGAAGTGAAAGGCCACAACCTTGTTGCCATCCTCCTGTTACCAGCACTCGGGTCCTCTGCAGAAGAGTCATCAGTGCTGCTGTCAGGATGCAAGCAGGGCGTTGCTCAGTGTTAACCCATCAGTCACGTCCTCAGCTGTCAATGCATGCAATTCCTTTAACCTTTGCTTATCATTTCTTCTGCTGCTTCTGCTTCACACATGAACTTTTCCATTCATGCTGCATTCATATCAGTCTCAATATTTCCATCACAAATCTCCGCATGCCATAACACATGCCGTAAATTACTGTACAACAGAGAAAACCGTCTACATAGGGGCAGGAAATGTGTTATTTTCAACTCTGTGATCTCTTCTACACTAGAAGGATACTTGGGGCTAACTGAAACCAAACCTACCCAAAAGCAGTTCAAAAGTCAGTGTGAACAGAACTTTCAATTTTGTCTAAAACATGTAAGCTTATTTAAGATAAACCAAAACAATCCGGGTTTAAATCAAAACAAGGCTTTCTCAGGGCACCCAGTGGAAAGCCACTGGACCACAGCTCCCCATGAGTGCTGTTCTCTTTCTGCTGCAGCTGTAACAGCAGCATTCGCACCACCAACACTGGCTGCATCTGCCAGCCTGGGGGGGCTGTGAGCTGCCGTTGGCCTGCAGGGTTTGAACCAAGGTTTCTTTGCAAGAACAATCCAAGATGCCAGCAGTCCATGAAGAGACTGGCAATTACAATGTCTGCATGGCCTGATGACAAAACCTCTTGCAAATACACTCTTTTTGATACAGGAACTTAACTCATGGACACACCATAAAGATTTGAAATGTACTTGAGCAATTAAAACAGTAAAGTGAAGTTTGAAATCTTTGTGGCAACATACTTAAATAGAATGCCTTGCTCTTGGCTCCAGTATCAAAACAAAGAGAGTTTCATGCCTGGTGTAAGCTAATAGTGATTATTCTTCCTGGACCGAATTAAGCATCTGTCTATTGGTACTGACAGATGATGTGGAGATCCAATATTCAAAGCTCTTCCATTTTCAGGGTGATTCCTAAGGCATTTGGTGGTGCTTGCTTACACTTTTGCTGTTACAGTGTGCAAGAGATACATGTGCAGGTCAGTCAGTATGCTCAGTCTTTTGGGAAATGATCAATTAGGCTCTGATAATCAGGATGTCCATACTGCTGGATGCCTGCATTGGCAAGACGTCTCAGAAGGTCTGGCAGTGGGCTTTATCAGTAAATAGGAAATACACAGATAACGGCACTAAAAGGAAGAAATCTGAGCGGCTGAAATCCGGGAGGAGATTCCTCCAGCCCCACGCTTTCCCGGGAGCGGGCAGCGTCCCCGCGAGCTCCTCCTGGAGCAGGGTGCCGGGGCGAGCAGAGGGACGCTTCCCCTGCTCCGGCGGGAGCCCCCCGACAGCGGGCGGCGAGCGGCGGGGGAGCGCCGAGTCCCAGCCCCTGCC